AGTATACATGCATTTTCTTGCGCATTCCACTGCAAGCTGTGCCACCGAGTAGTGGACTTGATGATCATGGATATCTGAGAGATCGTACAAATATTGAAAATTATGACCCAAAGGTCCCGCTTGAGCCACAGGGTAGACCACGGTCGGAGTTTGATCCCAATGCCACCTCGGTTGCAGGCAGATCATTGACAGGTATCAGAATTTCACTGATACATTGTGCGTGAGATGATTGAATGGTCCTGTAGAAAGACCGCAGATGATACTCCACGAATCGCAGGTGAATAACTTAGTCAAAAGTGGTCTTCTGACCCTGGGCCTCGACGATGGCACCACTGAGCTTCTGGACGGTTTCCTTGGAGTAGCGAGACTCATCGATGGGGTCATGCCTCTTCTTGTTGTATCGGGGTCTTTCTCGTGATTCGCCATCGACTTCGGTGATGGCGGATTCATCCTTCTTCTCAGCATCTTTTCCAAAGCGCTTCTTGTATCGTACAGACGCTTCTTCGGCAAACTCCATTCGCATACGGCGACCCATGAGCTGGTTCACCCAAATTCTTTGCATCCGGGGCTTAAGCTTCTTCGACTTCTTCTTCTTCTCAGATGCCGAGTCGGAATCGGAATCACTGTCGGAGGAATCCTCTTCCCCATCATCCTCCTTGATCAACATGAATCCTCTGACCGCTGCTTCTGCGGCAGCGAGTTCTTCAAACTCCACCCACGCATAACCCTTGCATTTTCCTGTATCTTGGAAAGTCGCCATATGCACGTTGGTAACAGTCCCGCATTTGGCGAAGTTTTCCTCGAGGTTTTCCTTGGTCACGTCGAAGCTCAGGTTGCCGACAAATACTCGCTTGGAGGGAGGGTGGCCAGACTTGGCTGCAGCATTCTCTTGGGTCTCAGATTTCTCAGGGCGACCTTCATAGCTGTTTGCATCCTTGATGAGCACGCGGCGGCCAGCCATGAGCTGCTCGCTTAGACCAATTGCTTCTTGCAAGGACTTCTTGTCCTTGAAGTCAACGTAAGCAAAGCCTTTGTTCTGCGTCCTTCCAAATCTTTCGGGACCCTTGGGGAGATGAATTCGAGTGATAGCTGACTCGGGGATGTCAGAGTTGACGGTGAAGAACATGCGCAGCTCTTCACTGGTCACTGTGAAAGATAGGTTTCCAATCCAGATACCATATTTGGACCGCTTCCCATCTGTTTCGGCTTCTTTCGATTCGGGTTTGTTGGACTTGCTGGACTTGGGCTTTTTGTCATCTCCCTCATCGTCTCCCTTGCTCTTCTTCGCTTTGCGCAGTGCCTTTTTTGAGACTGGCTCCGGTGCAGAGACATCGATTTCAATCTCAGGGCCGTCCTGCAGCTTGCGCTTCTTTTGACTAACTTCCGTGATTTCCGACATGGTGCGAGAGGTGTAAACGGTGTGATGACCACTAAAACAGTAGTCAATCAGGAGTCTGAGATTGTCACAGGAAATCAGTCAATAATTTAATTTTTTTTTACGGCGGCCAGGACCCGCCTCCCACGCAGCCGGGATCCGCTTCTTGGCGCGAACGCGCAGGGTGACCACATCCCCCTTCATCTCTTCTGAACTTCTTCCCGCCATAACACCATGGCAGAACCAAACGAAACCCGTTTTACCGCCGAGAGTTTGCCAAATGCACCGCCTTCTGTACCGGCTCCTACAAAGCAATCAGTCCGGTCCTTCAAGTACGAGTCCTCACAAGTAGCCCATGGGACAACGCTGACTCTCTTTTCTCTCCAGGAAGAAATATGCCAAGCTGAAAGTCAAATTTGAACTAGGAACTCGGGAGAATGAGAGTTTGATCCGGGAAGAATTGCGCATAGAGGACCTATCCAAGCGCATTCAGGAGCAAAATGAGTATGGGACTTACAAACCACCCCTTGTATGAATGGATGCTAATTCCTCGTTGCTAGTCAATTGCTGGAAGTTCTCCTCGAGTTCAACGAAAGCCTACATGTTTCCCCCGACGTGCGATTTGATCTGAGCATGCCAACCGACCCTCCCTTGCTACCAACTCCCGAGCAAGAAATTGTACCTTTGATCAACGATGCAACACTGGCAAAACAAGCATGGAAGGAAGCCAAAGCTGGCTTGGCTGCTGGTAACATTGACACAGGTGCTTATCGTATGATTGAAGATAACATCAAACGAAACAAGGCATTTGCACCAGCCCAGCAGTATAGCTCCATGTCACAGACCCATCACATCACTCCAGACACTGTTGAAAAGAAGCCCGACAATGATTGTGAACGTCAACTTGGATACTTTACGCCCGAGCACGAGACTGAATACTATCTTGCTCTGGACGCTAAGCTAGGTGATGAGGCAGCTGCTACGCAGCTTGCACGCATTCCAGATCGTCCCACGTTTGCGGAACGTGAGCGTGATCTTTCTATGCGGAATCCCGCGTCGGTGTACAATTGGCTGCGTCGCAACCAACCCCAGACTCTCCAAGATAATGAGATTGCTTCTGAAAAGTCTGCATCACGCCCTTCCAATCAACGATCTTCCAAGCGAGCGCCGGCTCAGCGCAAAGATGAGGATATGTATGATGAGGACGGGACAGAGGCCCAGCCTACTCCCAAGAACAAGCGCAAGCGCGAAGAGGACACTGGCTATAGACCCAAGGGTGGTAGCAGTCGGTCCAAAAAGAAGAAGGAAGAGCCTACTTCGAACCCAAGCAAAGTGGCCAAAAAGCCTTGAGCAGGTCCAACATTGCTCTATAAGGGACTTCATGTTTTGTATTAATACCGGCGTTGGCTTGATTTACTGGCTTCAAATGATATGACGGATCATTAACATTGTTGAATTTGAAACTATAGTCATATGAACATGTAGACTGAGAAATTTTAGGAAACTCCAATTCCAGTGTACTTTCTTTGTATCTTTGAAAGTCCATGACTATAGTGGAGCTATCACGTGACCTGGATTTTCTTTCTGGTAACCCATTCGGACGCTGTCCACTCCCAGTTTGAAGTCAACCACAATCAATCACAGACAACATCCTTTGCAATGGCAATTACTATTCTTCCTCCAGTAGTAGAAGATGCTCGTCCCTATGAAGTCGACTCAGATGACTCCATGTCCATGGACTCCGAGGACGACGTCGAAATGACTGGCATCTCTCGGCCTCACAAGCGACCCCGTTTACGAGGAAACTCGAATATTGGCACAGGAATTGTCACACCTGGAGAAGTGGTCACAGATGATCCGCAATGGATGAGGTTGGTGCAACCTTAAAAGACTGCGCGAAAAAAACGCGGGGCTCGTATCGTCATTTTTTTTCAACACTAACAATCTACAGAGGTCACGGCACCTATATGAACCCGCTCTCGACATCTATTATTGCCACCGTTGCTGGCACAGTTCAAAAGACAAATAAGCTACTCTCTGTTCATCCTATGCGCGCCCGCTATACCCCCGAGATTGGAGATCTCGTCGTTGGCCGCATTGTCGAAGTGCAATCACGACGCTGGAAGGTCGATGTCGCCGCGCCGCTACTTGCCCAGCTTCCTCTTTCCGCAATCAACCTGCCCGGCGGTATTCTGCGTCGACGGACCAGCGCCGACGAGCTCCAGATCCGAACATTTTTCAGTGAAGGCGACCTTGTAGTTGCTGAAGTACAAAGCGTGCACCAGGATGGATCGGCGTCACTACACACACGGTCCTTGAAGTACGGGAAGCTGCGCAACGGCGTGTTCCTTGCGGTTACAGGAACCGGAGGCAGCGGGGCGTCTAGCTCTAGCGTTAAGGGCGGTGTTGGGGCTGCGACTTCGGCTTCAGGCAGCGCTTTGGCTGCTCCTGGAGGTTCTGGTACTGGCGGTGTGGTGCGGTCTCGTCGACAGGTGTGGACGGTTCCCACTGCCAATGGTGGTGGTGAGGTGAATATTATCCTTGGAGTGAATGGGTACATCTATATCTCCAAGCATACCGATGGGGGAGATGCCGCGTCCTCAACTACGGAGAATGTTTCCATCACGCGCATGGAAGAGATGGTGTCGAGTTCGATCTACTCTAGTCAGAACGACGATATCCCCCCACAGACCCGTCGCGAGATTGCGCGGTTGGCACAGTGTATTCGAGTTTTGGTACAGAGCGGAGTACGCGTGGACGAAGAGACGGTCATGGGTGCTTACAATGCTAGTCTGGAGGTGGATCTGGAGATTGGGGACGATGAAGACGAGGAAGACGAATGGCGACAGGAAGGTCGTGAGTATCTGGAGGGCGCCAAGGCTCAGCAGATCCTCGAGTTGGTGAAGCAGCAGCTGTAACCGGCTCCAACTACTCGGATGTATGATAATGATACCCCTCAAACAAAGACACAAGGGAACACTTAGCAAGCGTAATGTCAAAGTCCATGTCCAAACTATCTGAAGCTTCTTGATCATCGTGATTCACTATTTGAATGTCTCTTCTACTCTAAAGTAAGTAGATGGTGGGATTCAGTCTTATATAGTATCAAAGATGGTGTCTTTTATGGCTTCAGAACCTTGGAAGTGGAAGCCTCTGTCATAAGTGGACCTATATAAGCCAATAATCAGGGATCATATTTGACCAACCAGGTAGCTGTATTTTGTAAGAAACATGTGAGTTGACAGTATAGGATCCTTGGTGAATGCCGGAAAGAGAAATGGCTAGAACATTGTCCTGAACAATAGCAATACAAATCCGAATAAAAATCTGATAGACATCAATAGATATTTGATTGGTGGAAAGTCTGAACAAAAGGCACCTGGACATCTGATAGGCTTACATACGCAGTCACGCGTCAAGGGTCTATTGTTCTTTTATTCTTTCTGTTCTTCTCTTCTCTTCTTTCTTTCACTGTACTCGAATCTTTGAGAACATGCCCAATTACTTACTTCTTACTCTTCTAATTTTCGACTATTGTCCAGTACCCATAGGTTAACCCTTTTTCTTGATTTCTACTCCCCACTGGGTTACTCTACATCTTTTTTCTTTTCTTCTCTACTGCAAAATGCCCGATCTACGTCGCCAGGTCCTGGAGAGCGGTAAGACTGTCTCGCGCAAGGCAGCTTCCCGTGAAGCGTCCCGCACCAACTCCCCCGCCAGTTCGAAGCCGGTCTCGCGCCAGGGCTCTCGTAATGCAAGCAGAGCTCCTTCGGATGATGAGGACTCGGGATTCCTCTCTGATGAAACATCTATGAGGTAAGTAATATATAACCCCTTGCACTTTGCTGTCTTTTTTTTTCCCCCTTCTAAGTTTTTTTTCTTGTATCTTCACATGGTCCCCACTCTCGTGGCGGGATGATGTCACCAATGATGTCGGCAAGTTTTATAAAGGCACTAACCAAATTGGGACAGTATCGGATCATTTGACGATGAGAACCCCGAACAAGATAATCCCGATTGGGAGCATGATCTCAGCCAGCGCATTCAAGAAATTCTCGATCGCAAGCGCAGCAGTGTTCAAGGTCGCGAAGAGGCCCTGCAAGCATTCTGCCGCCTGACCAAATATCACTATACAGTGGAAGAAATTCATGGCGTTGTTCCAGACCTACTGGCGGCATTTGAGCGAAGCGTCCGCACCGAGGTCAGTGTGCGCGAAGCAACACTTGGCTTGCGCGCTATCGAGTTGCTTGTCATCTCAGCCTTCGACAACACCGTCTACGAAAACACCGAACCCTTGCTCACCCGCACCGTCCGTGACTCCACCTCCCCTCTTGTCAAGACAGCCGCTATTCACTGCCTCGGGGCATGCACTATCTTCGGAGGTGCCGGCGAAGATGGCATCCTTGAGCAAATGGGTTTCCTCCTGGACATCATTGCGTCCGATGGCCAATCCATCGATGCCACAGATGACCCCACCATTGTGACCGCCGCGCTCCAGCAATGGGGATTCCTCGCTACCGAAATGGATGATTTCGAAGAAGAAAGCGAAGAAGCAGTCCAAATATTCATGGACCAACTCGACAGCTCTGATTCCAATGTGCAGATCGCAGCAGGCGAGAACATTGCCCTGCTCTATGAGAAGAGTTACACCCCCGAAGAGGAAGAAGAAGATGAAGAAAGCGCAGATTCAGACGAGGACAGCGACGAGCACGAGCACGACGCCACATCCGGTCCCAAGCTCGTAAAACGATACAACGCTTACCACAACACTCCCGAGCTGGAGAGCCAACTTCAGAAGCTGGCTACTATCCACGGTAAGCAGATCAGCAAGCGCGACAAGAAGTCTCTTCACAGCAACTTCGCCTCCATCCTCACTACCGTCGAGAATCCACGCCGCGGTCCTCGCTACAACACCGCCATTGACCAGAACACCAACCGCCACTACGGCAGCACCCTCACTGTCAAGATCGGCCGCCACGGAGTTATGACTATCGATCGCTGGTGGAAATGGTTGCGACTCAATGCTCTGCGCCGCATCTTGCAGGGTGGCTTTTCCGAACACTATTTCCAGGGTAACCGATCCGTTCTCAACAGTCTTCCTGTTATGATGCGCATGACAAACCAGGGTCACGGCTCGGTGGACCGACAGAGTGCGCGCAAGGCAGCCAAGCTGCGTAACTCGCGTCGCTGGACTACTCATCAATCCGATGATGAGGAGTAAACTAGTACATTCCATGCTCGCATCGGTGATGGTTCAGCAATCGAATGATGAATCAAAGGAGGAATCACATGCTTTCATTTTCGGTCTTTCAATTATTGAAATGGGATACGACGGCTTAGGGTTTTATGCCACATGGAGGATTTCGGTTTCGCATAAGCCTTGGGTTATGAGCTTTGTTTTTAGTTTCTTTTCTTCGATGTTTCTCTGCATATCTGTTTCTCTGCTGCTCTACTTTTCTGCTGTTTTGATTTTGTCTCTTATCTACTTGACTTGTTTCTCATGATTCAATACTTAAACTTTGTGCCTAATGGAATGACATTAAGCATTATGATGTGCAATACACCATTCAAGACAATAGATTTAAGGAAGAAGAATGTCAATATTTATCTTTATATAGAGTGAAGAAGGTCCTGCCCAAAACACCTCGCCCGCAGACTGAAGCCCCATCTCGCCTTTATAATCTTGGTCTTGCATGTCCAACAGAACAACCAGCACAACCAAAAAAAGGCCAATTAACACCAACCAGTCTGACCCTCTAATCCTCAAACACGGGCACAACATTAGACCAGCTCCCCCTAGCCCTCTCATCCCAATACCCATCCTTTCCACCCTTAAGCCGCCAAGCAACCTCCCCGTCAGCGTCATCACTAACCCGCGTAAACCAGCGTGGAATCCAACTCTCCCCAGCATTTTCCATCTCGCGCCTGCGCGCACGCTGTCCCTCTTCAAGTTGCACCTTAACCTCCTCCGCGTGGTCGAGGTCACCGTTTTCTAGCGCGCGCTGGTCAGGACGCAGACGTGAGTCCGTGACAGGCAAATGCTTATCCTCAATCGGGGTGATTTCATTCAGCGTGGCCGCAAAGGACGTGAGACCGTAGTGCTTTGGCGCGGAGGGGACGAGCGACCCGGCGCTCCAGATAGTGTTACCGGTGGGGTTACCATCGCGGGTGAGAGTCAGCGAGGAGGGCCAGGAGCCAGATAATCCGAGGGGTAAGGGGTTGCTGTTTGCGTCAACGGCGCGGGTGGATACTTCCTCGCTGCGGCCTGAGAACATGCCGCCGGCTTTGAAGGTTGAGATGGAGCGGTGGCCAGAGGACTCGTTTGTGACGGCTAGCTCACCGACGGGCTCCACGTATTTCTCGCCGGCAATGATATTTCGTAAGAAGGATGTTGCGGGCGTCCAGCTGTAGCGGTCACCGGTGCTGTGTAGGGTGATGCGGACGCGGCCTTCGGTTGTGATCTCGGCGGATTTGCCCCAGAATTTCTGGCTGGGCATCGGGGACTGCGAGAGGCTCCATTCTTTGCTGTCAGCTTGGTAGGCTAGTTGAACAGGTCGGTGTGAGACTTTCTCTGCGATGAAGCGGAAGCCACGGTCTTCACGGACGAGCTCGTAGGTCTCGCCTAGCATTGGATTGAATGGTTTGCGGATGGAGCGCTCGCGGACGCGGTTGCTCGAGAGCGAGGATACTGCGAAGGCGGTTACGTACATCAGCCGCTCAACGGGGTCTGTGGATTGGGTGGCGCGGTCAAGTAGAGTTGAGTACTCTAGGACCTCGGCGGCGCGTTGTAGGAGAGACAAGGGCTCGTTTGCGGACACGGGCATCGAGATCGTGGACAAGTCCTTTCCGACGTTCTTGCGTAGGAACCCAATCAAGCTTGGTGGCATGACTGTTGGGGCAAGGATGTTCGCGCGACGTTTTACGGGGTCTAGGGGCAGCGGGATCAACGATTTGGTTTTGACTGGGAATAAGCCCGATGTGCTGCTGCTTTCCTGGCGAATGGCTGCCGCGTCAGATTCACCGTCGCTGTCAGAGGGGGCGTCGTCCTCGACTTCCTCGGTAGCAGAGGCGGGTCTATCCTCTTCGGGTCCTTCGTCGTCGCTGTCACGGATGGTCAGGAGGGGAGATTTGTCACCACCTCCATCTGTTGCGTCAAAGAATTCTTGCGATATGTCAGACTCCATGCTCCGCCGGGGAACCATAGCTGGCTGAGGTGGGTGCCGCCGTTCCTTGCTCTCTGTAATCAGCGTGGAGAACTCAGAGACCGCATGGTCAAGATCGCGCAGTACCGCCATCAGATGGTCATGGATCTCATCCATGCTGTCTGTGTGACTGGTGATACTGGCAGGCTTCCCCTTGCCATCAATAGCAGGCACCACAAGCTGTGAGGAACTGGGGTTTGTGGTCATGGCTGGTAGTCGCTTGCCAGCACCAAGCGACTGACCACTTGTCTTGCGCTTCCAGAACGACCGCTTGGCCTCTGCCTCACCGGGGGCAGCCTCGTGGGTACTGCGCTGGGGGCTAGGGGAACGGCCACGCGAGCGAGGCCGGTCGATAGAAGTTGGGAGCGGTGATGCAAGATACTTGGGGTCTGTATCCTTGGCAAGCCGGCGTATCGCATCTCGCGATCCGGAAATATGACTTACGAGGCTCTCAACACGGGTCCATTCACTCTCCTCCGCCGGGGAGGGCTGCGTTGGTGCGTAAAGCCGTAGCTCCGGGGGGGCAGCTAGGTTCTTGTCCTTGGAAGCTTCCTTGGAGGAAGCTCTCTCCAGCGCACTCTTCCACGCACCGAATTCATGCTCGTTACTAGCACGCAGATGCCAGATCTCAGTACCGGAATCAATAGAGATCTCACGAGACTTTTCGTTGGTCGCAACGGCTGCTAGCGAGAGCGGAATCGCGCCTCGGAGTGCGGACGAGTTGCGGTCATGATAATATGACAACGTGGACGAGGTAAAGTCCAGCGAAAAGTACCGACGTGCCCAGCCCTGGTGACGCTTTCGTCGCCGCTTCTGCAGTAGTCCTGTGTGGACATTTAAGTTCGACGAGTCGACGTGCTGCGAATTGAGTGTGGCCCGACTGTTGCCTCGTCGGCGGGTCTTGGGCTGCGGCAGCGACTCGGTTGAGGCCCCTGGCTGAGAGCGTGAGGCGGCTATCGATGCAGAGCTATGTGGCTGAAGGCCAGTCGGATAGGTGAGGAGGACAAGTGTCAAGGTCTTGGAGATTTGTTTGGAGAAAGTGTTATCGAAGACGAGCGCATAGTTGCCCCCTTCGCCGAGTGGCACATCATAGGTCCCCTGTGTAATCTTATCTGCCTCACACTTGCCGGTCCATTTAATTATTTTGAGTCCAATTCCCGTCAGTTTCTCGATAACGGCAGATTGTTGTTGCCGAGCGCCGGCAGTCGTCGCGGTTGCGGGGAGGTTCTCGGTGGAATCGGTGCTCTGGGAATCAGATGCAGGAATATGGGAGCTCAGAGCAGAGGATTGGCCTGGGTGTTTGAAGATGCCAAAGTTGACAGACTTCTTGTGTGGTTGAATACTCCAAGAGATGGTGTGGTTGGCGCTGACATTGATCCAACGTACAAAGTAAGACTAAAGATATCAGTTGAGATCAAGTCTTTTGGTAACAATCCCTACCTTGCTGTGAATCTCCAACTCTTCCATGGCCGCCATAATTGCACGGTGAGTGTTTGTAAGAACCGCAATGTGTCCGTCGCGGTCCGAGTGCGGCTGAATGTGGCGATGCGGGGGACAAGCCACACTATACACACTGATGTCACAGGAACATTCGCGAATTTGGAGATTTAATTAAACAAGGAACTAGGAGATACCGGGAAATAACAAGGAAATATGTAGAGGGGCGAAAGTGGAACAAAGGTGAAGCCGAGCCGAGGAGTTCACATGGTAAATCTCCATGTCTTTCTCTTTCAGCCTATACAATCTCTAGGTAACTCCGCAAATTGCTTTGAAATTCATTTTGATAATGGTTACATGTCCGACGCCAAAGGTGTATCAAATTAAAAAAATAATGGAAACTCCATCCCATCTTTTCTGGAATTTTGGGATTTTTGAAATAGATAGTACATACACTGTACAGACGAGAAACACTCATCTCCGGCCACCCTTGCTCATGTTGCTGAACATCAGCTTAAAGCCGTTGCACAGAGCATGCATGTCCGGATAGGGGTTCTTCTGCAATTCGTAGCCCTGTGGGATCACCTTGACTGGCCAGTTCTGGAGTCGTGCGTGTTCGCCTGCCTTGAAGCAAAGGAAAAAGTAACCAGGGTATTTGGCGTTGATGCAGAATGCATAAGCCGAGCGGCGGGGGTTAGCCTTGGTATAGGTCTCGAGCCATTGATCTATTGAACGTTAGTTGGCTCCTAGTTGGATGAATAAATTGTCAAAAACATACCCGTCTCGGTCTTATTGCCATCTTGGAACTTTTCATGCAGCATCATCTCGCCCACCTTCTTGGCCATCGCTTTGACGTGGTTGACGATCAGGTCATCCAGATCGCTGTAAGTATACCGGCCACCGACCTTGAGGACGCGGCCGACAGAGAACTCGTTCTCTTTGTCCAGCTCGAGAACATCAATGTGCTGGTACACACCTTGTGCCACCTTCCAAGTGACTGCTAGATGATCGTGGCCTCGGGAGGATGGGCGAATAACAACGTCGCCTGGGCTTTGAGAGCCTAGGAACTCCTCGGCCTGGGTGGAGTTGAACGGCCGGAAAAGCGGGTGCTTGATGACACGCATGGCTTGGCCGCCACGCTGCGTCTTCTCCTGGAGCGACTCCTTATCGGCTCGCTCCTGCTGTTCGTCCCAATCGCCAAAGCCGTGATCCTGGTTCCGGCGAGCTGGATGACTGACCTGATCCTCGCGCAGAGAGACATTGCAAGAGAAAGTCTTGCGGTTCAAGAACAAGATCTTGGCCGGGACAGTCTGGTGGACTTGGTATGCGTTGCGTACAGGGATGTCGTAGGGAACACCGAGTTCGGTCTCGGCCACAAGCACATCGACTCCGCAATCCAATTTGGCCTCAATGTGATCCTCGAATACTCGCTTAATGGCAATGGGCACCACCATACCAGGTGTTAAAGAGTCAGGCGTCTCGCCAGTGAGCATTGTGAAAATATCATCGGTACTGAGGAAGACATAGTGCTTGCGTAATTCCTCGTAGGGTTGTTGTAACTCCGCTCGGATGGTCTCGAGGG